TATACGATTTAAGAGCACTACATGATGCTATTGAATCGTCTGTCACAGACACCGATGCCGTTCAGGTTTAGGAGATACTAATCAAGTGCCGACAGCACTAGAAAAAGAGAAGAAGAGGAAAGAAGAATTGAGAAAGAGAAAGATTGAATAGCAAGAACAGAAAGTGCAAGAAATTAGACAAGCTGTTGTTAAGACTGAAGGGGAAGAACATGAGATTTTTTTGGCTCAGCTTGTGAATTACCTTGCCCATCTCGAAATAAAAATCGATCAGTTTGGCGAACGGATGCAGTTACAAATTGATGATGTCGCTTCAGGACTCCGGACAGTCACGAATCTGATCAAGGGAAAGGAAAAGGTCAAGGAAGAAAGGAAGGAAGAAAAGCCAGAGAAACTCATGGGAGACGCCATGAAGTCTCTCAAGGTAGAAACAAAGAAGACGGAAGAGAAACCATAAACAAAGAAAGGGAAACCTTCGAGTCCGCCGTCTTCTCCTCCCAACTCCCCTCCTTCCTCTCCACCACCAAAGTCTCCTTCTCCAAAGCCACAGGACAAAGTAACGACTCCGGAGAAACCAAAGAGAAAGGAAAAAGTCAAAATGAAATTGCCTTTCACGTTTTGTAACAAGAAAGACGAAAATCTGCTTTTGTGGATCGCAGAGATTCAGACGTACTGTAGCACGACCCCTGTCGAACCCAAATCCCAGGTTGCATTCTCTACCTCTTGTCTTGGTGGGGAAGCTAAGGAGTGGGTTTTGGCCGAAGCTAATGCCGCAGGGTTGGATGACATCGGGGAGTGGGTTGGAACTTTGAACCTCAAACAGTTCCTTGGGAAGATCAAAGAACGGTTTTTGGACAAAACGACGACCGATAAGGCCTTTGACCAGCTCACCACGATTGGTCAAAGACATTGGACCTCTGTGGAGTCGTTGTCACGGGAAGTTGATCGGTTGCTGCAGGTTCCAGGATTGAACCTACAAGACAACCAGGTTTTGTACATTTATTCCCGTGCTCTGCCTGAGCCCATTCGTGGACAACGAGAGCAAATGACTTCTCAAGTGAAAAACTCTTATGCGTCTGTTGTGAAGTATGGTGGTGGTGCAGGAACAGGAAAGCGAGTACTTTGGCGCCAAAAGCGCCAAGACCACACCCTTGTCGTATTCGATGACGAAACTGTGGAAAGGTGGTCGTTAGAGGCCGAGGGTGTGGCGAACAACAGTGATTCCGGGAAGGGGGAAGTCACTGCTGTCGTGGTCAACAAGGGACGACCACGACCACCAGTTAAGAAGAAGAAGCCACGCTCGTTTCCAGAGCATCCCGGGATTGCAGTCGGGAAACCTTGGGAAAAGAAAGGTTTGTCACAAGAAACGTGGCAGGAACGAATGGACAACGCGCAGTGGTTGAAGTATGGCATTGCAGGGCATGTGATTGCATGGTGCCTGTTGATTCGTAACCCAAAAGCAAGCCGCCAGTAGGAGTAGCATCTGCTCCTACTGAGTCTAAAGGTTTGGATCAAGAAGAAGGTAAGGCGCCTACTAACCCTTCCAACCTTTTGACTCGCATGGCAGAGGATGGTTCTTCTTCGGCCCATCGTCCGGAACACCCTGAACCTGTCTTATGTTCCATCTCTCTGGACGACTCCCTTGACGAGCTTGGTAACAAGTTGCTGGCATTACGAAGCTCGTGGGCTAAGAAAGCTAAGTCTAAGGGTGACCTACTACTCGCGAATGTAGAAATCGCACGTACACGCGTAGGTGCCCTGTTAGACTCAGGATCTACGCGATCCTACATATCCGAGAAAGCAATCCGCAAGTTGCATCTCAGAATGAATCTGAAGAACCTGTCTAGACCTATAACGTTTGCTTTGGTCAACAAAAGCACGATCACTGTCTCACAGTATGTTGATCATGTCAAGTGTTGGTTTCGAACAAAGAAAGGTAAGAAAATTTTGCATGAGGTATCCTTCCTGATAGAAAAGACCTTACCGTTTGACTTGATTCTGGGAATGGATTGGCACGAGGAAGCCAACCCAGATATTAAGTTCAAAGAGAAGGTTGTGCAGTTGCGAGACGCACAATCTAATTTGAAACCAATCAAATTGTTTCATAAGTCTGGCTCTGACTCTAGCCTGTCTTTTTGTTGTATGAGTTATCCAGCCTTTCGCTCAATGGTTTCAAAAAAGAAGTTGAAACAGGAAGTAATGATGGTTTTAGTAAAACGAGCACGTGAGTCTTCTACTTCCTATCCTCCTTCGACCGAAAAACTCCTTAGTGAGAATAAAGACCTGTTTTCCAAACCAACAGGAATAACTGCGCGTGCTATAAAGCACACCATTGAAATTATTCCTGGCAGTAAGATTCCCAATGGCCCTATCTATCGAATGTCTCCCAGGGGAACTTGAGAAATTAAGAAAAAAACTGCAGGACTTAACAGAGAAAGGATGAATTCGCCCTAGCTCTTCTCCTTATGGTGCCCCTGTCTTATTTGTGCCCAAAAAGGAAGGTGAGTTACGTCTCTGTATTGATTAAAGAGGGCTGAATGTCGTCACTGTTAAGAATGTCGAACCTCTACCACGTATTGACGACTTGTTGGACCAGTTGCAGGGCTGCAAGCTCTTCAGTAAGATTGATCTGAAGTCTGGATACCACCAGATCGAGATGGAACCCACATATCAACATAAGACTGCGTTCCGAAGCAGGTATGGCCATTACGAGTTTATGGTGATGCCCTTCGGACTGACTAATGCCCCCGCGACCTTTCAAAGGTCTATGAATGAACTCTTTCGTCAGTGGTTAGATAAGTTTGTCATTGTCTATCTTGATGATATTCTAGTGTATAGCAAGAAACTAGAAGATCATTAGAAACACCTTCGTTTGGTGCTTGGGAAGTTGCGTGAGGGCAACTTCAAGATCAATCCCAAAAAATCTGAGTTTGCTAAGTCTGAAGTATTATACTTAGAACACATAGTGAACGAAGAAGGTCTAAGGCCAGAAGAGAAAAAATTTCAGCAATTAGAAATTGGCCACAACCTAAGTCTATAACGGAATTGCGATCTTTCCTCGGTTTAGCTAGTTACTACAGGAAGTTTGTTATGAACTTCTCACTGATCGCTGCACCAATGCGAAAATTGCTAAAGAAAGGAACTATCTGGTTGTGGGATAGATTGTGAGTCTTCCTTTCAGAAACTGAAGTATGCCCTAACTCACTACCCGGTTCTTAAGATTATTGACCCGTCTTTGCATTTCATCGTCACCACTGACGCAAGTCAGTATGAGACTGGCGTTGTTCTTCAGCAAGATGACGGCAAGGGCTATAGGCCCATAGAGTTTATGTCTGCTCGACTGTCGTCTGAAAAGGTTGCCAACTCCACCTATGAAAGGGAGTTGTATGCCTTAGTCTATGCACTAAACACTTGGAAGCACTACTTGTTAGGGAGGCACTTTACTGTGTACTCAAACCACTCTACCCTGAAGTGGATAAAGACACAGTCGAGGCTCTCTGATAAGCTGGTTCGATGGTCTGCATTCATTGATACTTTTGATTTTGAGTTGAAAACAATCAAAGGGAAGTCTAATGTGGTTGCAGATGCATTGTCTAGACGGAGTGACTTCTTTGGTGCAATTGTCTCTTACTTGGATGTTGGGAATGACTTGAAAGACCAGATTCGCCAAGGATATGCTACTGATCCTATCAGGAAACCAGTTATGGATATCCTTGAACGAGATTCATCCCAACTACCCAACTATAGAATGACTGATGGATTGTTATTCTTGATTGACCAAACCGAACAAAGACTGTGTATTCCTCATAAGGAAGAGATAAAGAGTGTATTGATCGGGGAATGTCACGATTCTGAGGGTCACTTTGGTTTCAAGAAAACATATGTTGAAGTCAGAGAACGTTTCGAATAGAAGGGACTTAAAGAAGATGTACTAACATATGTTCGTACTTGTTTAGTGTGTCAGAGAAACAAGTCGTCGCACGAGAATCCCCTTGGACTTCTCAAGGCATTACCTATACCAAGCGAACCAGGTGAGTCTATCTCAATTGACTTCATGAGTCTGGTTAAAAGTCGCAATGGTAATAGTCAAGTGATGGTAATTGTGGATCGTTTCTCCAAATACGCTATGTTTGTTCCCTTACCAGCAGAAGCGCGTACTGAACTTGTCATTCAGAAATTCCAGATGCGATGGGTTACTGAGTATGGGTTTCCCAAAACCATTGTGTCTGATCGAGATGTCAGATTCACCAGTCTGCCATGGCAAAAGTTGATGGAAGCTTATGGCACACGGCTGACCATGTCGTCAGGGAGACATCCCGAAACGAATGGCCAGACTGAACAGATGAACCGTCTGTGCCCACAACTTTTGCGTATGTATATTAGACCCGATCAAATTGATTGGGACGAGAACTTACCTAAGATTGCAAGTGCATATAACAATAGTGTCCACACGTCTATTGGACGAACCCCAAATGCATTTCACAAAGGGGTAAACCTAAACGTCCCATTGATGTATTGAACTGGGATCAATCTCTTAGGTTGCCCCCAGGGACCCAAGAATATGCAATCTTGTTTCAGGAAGACATTTAGGAAGTTAAAGATAATCTAAGGAAAGCTCAACTACGAATGATTGAACAAGCCAACAAGCACCGTCGACCGTCTACATTCAAAGAAGGTGATTTGGTTTGCGTAAAATCTAAAGAGTTTTCACTAGAAGAAGATGTCTCCCAGAAATTGCTACCTGTCTATTTTGGACCCTAGGAAGTTCTCAAGGTAATTGGAGATGCAGAGGGACCGTCTTATCGAGTTGATATTCCCCCTCATCTCAAAACATATCCTGTCTTTCATGCGTCCAAACTGTTGCCTTACGTAGAAGGAAATGAGTTTCCACACAGACCATCTATGATTCCACCAGATATGGATGGCAGATACGAGGTTGACCGGATCATGGAGCATGGCTACTTCTCTACGGGAGGACGTGGACGACCTCAGAAGCAGTTCAAGGTACGTTTTAAAACTCAAACACCATCTGAGGACAGATGGTTTAGCAAACGAGAACTACTTGAAACTGCTCCTGATATTATCGCTTCTTATGAACGAGGGTTAAAGTCGTAAATATTTCTGCGATGGAACTCGAAAATGGGTCGGCAGGAATGTAATAACCCTATTCAGAAGTAGCCTGGGGCCCAGAACTCAGCCCCAGGCCACGCAGACCTGAGAAGGTCTGCGCTGGGCTGTGTGACCAAGACACGCCCAGGCCTGAGTCTGTCGAGTGTGGCTGTGTGACAGAACGCTACACGCAGGAAATTCAAGAGTCAAAGTCAACTGTAGAGTCAAAGGTACCGCACCCAGGCCCTGGGCTGGATACACTCACTTGTTGTGCGCAGGTACCCAGACAGCATCCAGGCCGGAGGGAATTCGGTTTCAGGCCGAGCTGAGCCCTCATTCGCATTGAGATCTGGACGGCCGAGGGATACAGCAGCCGGGGTCCAGACCCCACGTCAACACTACATAAGAGTTGACTTCCTGGCTTTGACATTCATTCTGTCTTGCGTTGATGCTCACTTCACGCATTGACTGCGACGCTGGCTCGACGCTGCGACGCTGGCTCGACGCTGGCTCGATGCTGCTGGCATTGTAACTTGGCGAGGCGCTGCTATTCCGGCATGGTGGCCGGCATGCTCCTGTCTTCTTGGCATGCTGACGTGGCAGCTGCCATGCGCCTTCGCTGATGTGGCTGCTGCCACGTGTTTCATTTGGCTGACGTGGCTGTTGTCCACGTGTTCTATGGCGGGGACTACGGGATCGACATTGCTGTTCTGTTTCGTCGTCGCTTCAGGAGGAGATCAAGACTGTGGAGAGTTCGAGGTTACGTACCTGGTGGTCTTCATGTCCACATTGCTCCAGATGCTGATGTGGAACTGATTAGACGTGCCACTTGGCACATTGAGGATACTCGGATACTCGATTCAGACTATTGATTGTTGAGGTGGCAATAGAAGATGGAACCCGAAGCAAGAGTGGGCATTATACTCCTCTCCTTTGTCTCTTCTCCCTCCCCTCTCTTCGTCTGTGTATGATTACTCACCTCATTCTGTCTGGTTACGATTTGGACTATGAGTAATCATCAGCCGATGGACAATTATCTGGACTTGCATTGTTGACAACTGTTTCACGATCTGGGTTCATTACACGATCAACTAACTGACCTTGAGTGAAGTTTGATTCGGCGCACTCAAGAAAGCCAATTAGATAAAAGCTAATCGTCGTTGAAGTTCAAACTATGAGGCCACAACTCCACAACTCGTGGCCGTTCCAATGAACGACGATCCGCCTCTCTCTTCAAATTCCCGAATGAGCAAGAGGTTGGGCCACACAAAAAAACTCACGCGAGATAGCCCGCCAGGAGGGTGTTCCCACAAATGAGTTTTCACGTGGCCCCAATGTCCCAGACAGTCCTAACGCAGTCCCAACTCCACCTTAACCTTCCAAGGATACTCAACCAATTCCAAGTCCACGCCGCCTCCAATCATCACGTCCACTCACAATAGCCACACCAACTTGCCTGTCCCGATTTCAAACTCAGTCTCACTTGGTCCCAACATGGTCCAAAATGGTCCCAACGTAGTCTTGGATAGTCCAAACCTATTGCCCGCAACACTAGATGGTCCAAAACTCAAAACCGCTCACACCATGCGCCGCAAAAAAAATGAAGGTAGGTTCCGACAAAAACCGCATGTGCCACAACTCCAAATAGCCAGTGTTGCGTGCACTCACTCCGCACTCTCTTCATGCCACCGGTCCACGCACTACGGCCGCACAATCCCAACCGTGCACCAGTGCCCATACTACCGCCGAATCATGCCAAAATGGTCCACCATCACCGCGCACCTCAAAAATTAAATGCTCACTCGCCACACCGTCAAACCCGGTACCATGCCATCGTGCGGTACCACCGCCTAATCACACACAAAAATAACAACTCCACCGCACTGCAAATTTTCGCCAGCACAGCCCTTTGAACATAACCCCATTGACAAGTTGACACTCCGGCAGCACTTCCCTTACCAAAAATAACTCTTTAACGACCCGACCGCGCCGTAATTTCGGCAGTATAACTACCCCACTAAAACTGTCGCCGTTGTCGTGCCTCCAAACGGACATCACTTCCCCTTAGGAAGGCCTTGATACCGTCGCGCCACCAGTCAAGCAGCACCTCCCTACTGAAGTGCCACTACTGTTGTGCCAAAGAAAATGGGCAGCACTTCCTCACAAAAAAAATGCCGCCGTTGTCGTGCCGCCAAACGGACAGCACCTCCCCTTAGGGAGACCTTGATGCTGCCACGCCGCCAGTCCGGCAACCCCTTCCCACACTCACGTTAAAAAAAACCTTCAGCGCTGCACGGCAAATCCTGCAGCACCTTCCCTTAGGAAGGTCTTGATGCCATGGCGGCAGTCCGACAGCACAACCTCACTAGAAAAGGTGCCGCTTGCTGCACCGTCCGGACCCTGACGCAGCCCACCGGCCACGACACCCATGCAGAGGTGGGGCAGTGAGCTCCCAGCCTCGGCTATGGCTGCCGCCTGTCTCCCCCCCAAATGCTCCTGCAGACCTCCAACACCGCCACCAGCAGCACCTCCCCTCTACAGCAGCATGCAGCAGCCAGCCAGCATTCACACAAGTGAATGCCCCAGCAGCACTGCCACAAGTGTGAGGCTGTTGGGTTGGAGTGTTGGCTTTTATAGCCAGCACCAAGGTCATCAACTCCCAGAAGTATCTGGCCGTTTTCCCAGGCCAGATACTCCTGTAAATGGTTGTACTCAGGCTCAAAATGAACAGGCGCAGTCCCATCACCCCCTAGAACCTTCTAGGGCTGCACCTGTTCTGCGGCCGCGGCCATATTC